ACGTTCTTGGTTGTGTTGGTGCTGCTTACAGCCATGGCGTCTATCCAATACAATAAAAAATAGAAATAACTATTCTCCAGTTTATTAGTAACCTGTGACTTTTGTATAATAGTTACTCAATTCAGGGTTGCAGCTAACTGAAATTGCATGTTAAATCTCTGTCTCCCATACAGCAGCGTGTCCCTCGCTGCAAACCTGGCACGTTCTTGGTTGTGTTGGTGCTGCTTACAGCCATGGCGTCTATCCAATACAATAAAAAATAGAAATAACTATTCTCCAGTTTATTAGTAACCTGTGACTTTTGTATAATAGTTACTCAATTCAGGGTTGCAGCTAACTGAAATTGCATGTTAAATCTCTGTCTCCCATACAGCAGTGTGTCCCTCGCTATAGCAAACTGTAAACCTTTTATTTTACTCCACTTGCCTCTAAGCAATGAAAAGTAAAGCTTAAAATGCTGCTCATGAAGGGAGCGGTGTTTGGTTTTTTTGCTTGAAGGAGTAACGTGTGGCAGTGATACGCACCTTCATAGTGCCTCTCTTCTGGGATCTCAAAATGTCATTGGGCTGTTAATTAAAGCCTGTCAACACCTTCACGAGCAAAGGTGGTGGTTTTTATCCCTGATAGCCAAGTGCTTTGAGCTGCTGTACGGTGCTTTATGGGGAAGGAAGGGAAACCTTGATGTTTTGGAAATGGGAAACAGAGGCAGAGACGAGCAGAGCTGGGCGGCCCTGGGGGTGTGTGTGTGTGCGTGTGAACACCCTGCGGATGGGGAAACTGAGGCAGAGCAAGGGCGAGTGATTATAGCAAGTTGGGGAGAGCCGGGAGTCGGAGCTTGGACCAGCGCCCCATCCCTGAGAGGTCTTTGCCCTTGGCTCCCATTGCTGATGGTGTTATCCCAACCTCAACACAATACCTCCAACCGCGGCTGAGCATCCCAGCGCGGGGCAGCTCCGGGGTTCATCCACCCTTGATCATTCCTTTGCGTTTGCAAAAGCTCTCGGTAAGGTGTTTTTTGAAGGTTACCTTCAAAAGCAAAACGCTTGCTTGAGAAAACTCAATAAAGGCTCCAAAGATCCGGGCTTTGGCCAGGAGCCAGGATAATGTTCCCTAATCTTCTTCTGTAGTGTTCATCATCATCTTTGCTGCGTTCCTAGAGTCTAAGGTAGATGTTCGTTCTCGCTTTCCTATTCTGGCTGTGGACCATTCTCGCCTTCTCAAACCCGACTGCCATCGGGACAACAAAGCGTCTTTTAAATTAAGCCTCAGGTTTTCATAGTCTGGTACATCATCATGTCAAACCTCGACGCTGTGCTAGGCAATGGATTTTAATGCTGCTGTCTAGTTCTCCTCTGCTGCCCAACCAAAGGGGCTTTAGGGCATTTTTGGGTTGCATCAGCCAGGCAGATGCACGAGCCGAGCTGGGTGCAACTAAGGTGACTTGGGCCTGGGTAGGGGGGGCTATGTATGATGCTGCTCCCCTGAAGCCAGCTACTGTCCCTCCCCAGAAATCTCTGGGGTGGTTTGGGGGAGGCAGGGCTTGCAAGGAACCGACCCTTTTGGGAGATGTCTTCTGTATCTGCCCCGTTGTGCCTTATCACACACTTGGGGGTGATTTTGCAGCTTCCCGATTGCTTCCGCAGCAGACGGACTCAGCTCCGTGCCCCCACCGGCAGCAGAACCAGCCTTCCCCATCGCTGCCGAGGCAGCTGGAGCCGCTGCTCCACCAGTCTGTGAACAAAAAGCTGCTTTTTGCCTGTGTTATTTTGGATTATTGCAGCATTTCGCATTCTCCTGGGGAACCGGCGTGTGCAGAGCTGGTGGCATCTGCATTGCCATTGCGTTCGGCCGCTGAGGCTGAGCTGCCTCTAGGTTTTGACCCGACCTTGTGCAATTTTGATGGGCAAAGACCTGCAGGGGAAAAAAAAAAGGTACTGGGAAGTTGCTGTGTGTGTGTTTTTGGAAAGCGTACAGCTTTCCAAAAGTGTCTCAGCGCACGAATAACCCTGCCGTCGGAAGAAAAACCCAGTTTAGTAGTTGGTGCCATTGCCAAGATCAACCCAAAGTCAGCTGCTTTTTCCAGCAAGACTGTTAGTGTTTGCATCCCTCAGATAAGGCAGCGGGGCCTGGCTGGACCCTGCCTTCGCCTCCTGCTGCTGCCCGGCGCGTGTGGGGCTCCTGTAAGTAGCAATGATGTTCCCAATGAGTTGCACCACGGTTTGGTGATGGCCAGACCCTTTTGATGGATGACTGAGGTCCTTCGATAAAGGGCAAAAGAAACGTGAGGCTCTTGCCAACATATGCAGCCCCTCCTCTGACTTCTGGTTTTTCCTTTTTTGTCATGGCTGATTTCCTTGGAAGGTAATACGCTGTCAGCATCAGTTTTGCCCCCTCCTGTCAGTATAATATATTTGGGGACAGCACTTTTTTCTCCCCTAGTGCAAGCATGGCCACAGAACCAAGTTCATCAATCAAGTTCACAAAACCTGCTACAGCACAGCCCTATCTCACTAAGGGCCTTTCAGGCTCTTGCGGTGCATGGGGCTATTTAATTTTCACAGCAATGTGCCCAGGTATCAGCTGTGCCAGCGTGTCCTTTTGGGCTCTGACGGCTCCTGGTGAGCCGTGTCCATCAGTGCTGGTTTGCTGGATGGAGAGGGCTGGAGCAGGGCAGTGCTTATGGATGGTGCCCGTCAGCATGGAGGAACTCTTACCCATCACATGCACACCAGCAGGATGGAACGGGAATTTGACTTGTAGCACCCATCACTTTCCAGCCGAAGAAGTTCAGCTCTTGGCTGATGCTGCTGGAGCATCAGGATGGACTCGGCGTGCAGCCGGCGGTGGCTCTGGCTGCGATGCTCCTGCAGCACGAGGGTGGTCTCTGCACGGAGCAGCTCATCACTGCTGTGCTGGACCTGCCCTCTCGGCACTTCCCATCGCCGTTAGAACTGATACAATGCTTGTTTTCTCTTCTTAATCAAGTCTAGCAGGTCTAATGGCACTGCACGTAATGAGCTTTGAAAGGTAAATTTGTTTTGATGCATGTTTGCCAAACTCCAAAGTGCTTTTGCTCAACAAGTTTTCGTAGCTCCCGTTGGCTGGGAGAAGCCCAAGTGCCCAAATCGATAAGGTTCCGCTTGGATAATTGGGATGGGAATTTGGTTCATCATGTGAAGTGGCTGCTGAAGTGGATAATTGCAGATCTTGAGGTGTTTGTCCTATTTGCTAGTTTAGATTGAAGAAAATTTAGGTGCAATTTCACAGGTGTGTAGGTACAAAATGACTTCTGTGTGGATACTGTGGATGTATTGATAGAGTAATAAAGCTAAATAACTCATATTTCTTCGTGCGTTGGAAGAAAACAGATAAAAAGTGCCAGGGTGCCGCAGCCTGGCTGTCTGTTGGTTAGAGAGGTCCTGTGGCTTTGCGTGGTCCCTTTTTGGGGAGAGGGGGATCCTTCCTCCCACTCGGCTTGTAGCGTTCCTTGAAAAGTCAACTTATAATTGTGTTTTTATGTTCATTTAATGCGTTTGCCAAACTGCTCTGTAATCTGCCTTCCCGTTCTGCTGCAGTCCACCGTCGAATGCACCCAGGGCAAGGACATCGGGGAGCCTTTACAGTGCTGCTGTGATGGGGGAAACCTTATGGCTTGTATTTTCAAAGGCACTCTGAGGTCTTCAGTGTGGTCTGATTTCAGCAGATTACTTACATATTCATAAATTATTCTTTATTAAGTCACTGGGTTTTAAGCGTGGTTCAATCCAGGCACCTGCTGAGATCCTTTCCATTGGATTGGGGCACAAGTGTGCAATATAAATATTAAATAATCCGAAATACTAGTGCTGACGTGGAGCATTAGTGTTGGGTCTTCTTGACATGATTTGAGCTTTGTTTAAGTCAGGTTTTCTTGGGATGGGGACCTGGCCTCTCCCTTCTCCGTGAAGTGCCCTTAATACTGGCTTTTCTCAGGGAATAACAAATACCAGCGGTTGCGTAAAGCCCCCGATGCTTTATGCACTATTTCTGCAAATAATACTTGTTTATAATTCACCCTTGGCAGAAAAAGACTTTAAATTATTAAGGCACTAAATATTTTGCAATGAAGGAATGGAGATAAAGCTCTTGGCAGAAACAAGTTGCCAGGGAGAAGTTGTTCGCTTCGGTACGTTTGGTACTTTAAAGTATTATGAGAAATAATGTGTGGGGCGACTGGGAATTCGTCACTTGATCAAAAGATTTGCTCCTCTCTTAAAAAAGCAGCTGCTCGGTGCGTGCTTTCCATAACCCCTGTAAATAAGGAGTGTCCCCAGGGCACATGTGTGGGTCCCCAGAGCTGTCCCCGCTCACCACGGGGCCGAAGGTGGCCCGTTGTGGTTTAGGTGGTGAAGGGTGGTAGCCAGGAGGTCTCTGTCCTGCCCCCAGCTCCACCACCCCGGCGTTCAAAGCCATTTCCACGTGCTCAGTGCTCCCCCGAGGGCAGATTTTCAGGGGAGCTTGGGCTGCTGCGGTCGGGACCCCTGCCATCGGCCCGAACGCCTGGAGCTCCTCCACTCCCTCAGCTCCCGGTCGGGGGATTCTGTATCCACTCTCCAGGAGTGGGAGATGCTGGTGCCAGTTCATCGTGTAGGTGTGTTGCGCGTGTCCTGTGTCGTAACAACCAGCTCGTTGGTAAATGGGAGGTGTTCCAGTGGTGTGAAACAGAGGATCTTATAATTAGTGATTTTGCCACCTGTTGCTTATTTATCCTGATATTACAACAGCTAGCACTTGTCAGCTCCTGGAGTCACGTAACCAGACAACCATGAGTGCGTGTATATACATACAGGCATTATATACAGCTACATATATATGTATTTAAGTAGTTATACCCATGATCTTCTAGCTCTCTTTTGGAGAGAGATTTGAAACATGAACCATGGGGGTTCAAACCCCAGGGTGCTCCCATTTTTTTTTAATCATCTCAACATTTTAAAGGAAATATCATCCTTATGGCGACGATGTTTCCACCCTGGGGTAAGCAAAGGGAGGGCAGCCGTGCTGACAGTGGCGCTGGCCCCGCTCGGGCTCTTCCTTGGTGCCGTGCCCCCAGCACGCCGGTTTCAGCCTCTCTTTCCCCTTGCAGGAGACCTGTGCAACTGCAGCGCCGTGGGGAGTGCCAGCGCGGCCAAATGCAACGGCACGACGGGGCAGTGCCCCTGCCTCGAAGGCTACGCGGGGCCGCGGTGCGAGAGCTGTGCCGAGGGCTTCTACCTGGAGCGGAGGAGCCAGCGGTGCCGTCCCTGCGGCTGCAGCCCCGCCGGCTCCAGCAGCGCCCGGTGTGACGAGTGAGTAACGCGGCGTTTCCCTGAGCCTCCCAGGGGGCTGTGTGCGCGGCACTGGGATTTGGGGATATTTTGGGATTTGGGATGCAGATCAGGCAAGAATGGATCTTGTCATCTGGTGCTAGTATTAAAAAAAAAAAAAAGAAAAAAAAAAGAAAAAGTAGGAAGGAAGCTGGCCTTATAAAAATTCATGAAGCATATTTTTCCTCTCTTTCAAGATCTGGATTATAAAAATACCCATAGCTGTGGCAAAAGCCCTGGCAGCCCACAAGGGAGTTAACTTCTATTTCTGAGTTGTACGGAAGCAGAACCTCTCCTTTAATGCCTTGTGCATCCATTAGTCCCTATCGGACAGGACTGCCTTCACGCTTGAGCTCAGGAGGGGAGCAGAGGAGCTTTGGAGAGGTTTGTTTTCCAAAGGGATATTCGTTACACCAGAGGCAAGCGAAGCTTTGTGCTCTGCCCTTGCCGAGCACCATGAAAGCAGCGGCAGCCCAACCAAAGTGTCAGCTCCTGCCTTGCCTGGTGTTTAATCCTGCCTCCTCCTCTCCTTTGCTGTGTCAAGAAAGTCACCGTAGCTGATGCTTTGAGCTCTTGTATAATGAATGTGTTCCTCTTCATTTCACCTTACCCACCCTCACATTTTGCCTTTTAAAAGCCAGCATGCCATTATTTTTTTTCCAACTTCCAGTGATGCGGCGGTCATTAGAGATTTGTTGCTGAGTTGAGGGTGTCATTTTATTCCTACAGGTAATGGTCTGAGCAGAGCCAGACTCTTTGGGTCCCCTGCTTGTGCTCGCAGGGCAGTGAGACACAGGGTCTCTCCTTGGAGGAAACCCCCCCAGCAAACCACCCTGCAGTGACTTCCAGCCTTCCTGGGCACCAGAAAGTCGGCAGCAAAGGCAGTTCCCGGAGCCCCTGGCCCTTCCCCAGGGCCCTGCAAGGGAAGCGATACCGGCGCGCAGATGCAGTGGGCTTCTGCACTGGTTGCCTTGCGCTGGCATCAGCCTTGTTGTCTTTTAGGGTTTGATCCAGGCTCAGCGTGTGTTGAACACCTGCACTTTCCTGCCAAGGCTGGGGCTGAGTCAGAATCGAAATGTTCTGCAGGGACATGCTGGTTGTAATTGTAATTATTTTATACATTTTTTTTTTTTTCAAACACCCAAACCCTATGTTTGTCCTTCCTTTTTGTTTCAATGCTGCATTTTTCTGTTTGTGTAAGCTCTGAAAAACCAGAACTTAAAAGCAATGCTCCAGTTGACTAAAAAAGGTGATTCTTGGGGGTGGAAAGTGTGGAGTTTTTCACTTGCTTTTTTAGTGGTTGTTTTAGGTATGGGAAGATGTGTCCTCAAGCATCAGGGGTTGCCACAGACTAGAAAATCTGAGTTTGGTCAGATCTACTGGAAAGGCAAATTGGGCAGAAAGGCAGATGGGGCAAATCTTATCTCTGAAGTCTGGGAGAGGAGGGAGGTGCTACTGGAGCAACTGGGTTAACTGGGAGGGAGCGTTCTCACCCTGCCTCTGAGTCACCGGGCAGCAGACAAAGCATGGACGTGGGTGACGTCTCCCTACGTCTCGCTGCGTGGAGCGAGCCAAGAAACGCCCTTGGGAACTTCAGGTGAGATGCTCCGAGTCGTGAAGGAGAACGAGGTGGAGTTCATGCATGTAGCGAGCCATCGCATCCAACCCCAACACGTATGGACCCAGAAATGGCAGAGGACCTCCCTAGCTTCTCCTCTTCAGCACCATTTTACAGCCTTGAGGGACGTGGGAGATGCAGATCCTCAGGCATTTAGAAGAGGCAGCATAGGGCAAAATTTGGAGGAAGACTTGGGGAGGAGGACCTATGTTAACAGAGGTCACTCTGTGTTTCTCTTCTGTGCTCAGTGGGGTTTGCTGCAGATGGAGATGACCTCTGGGTGTTTAAAAAGGGAAAACTAGGTCAGTTGTCTGTGTTGTAGGGCTGGGGGCATCAGTATGGCTGCGAGATGGGCAGCCTCGTGCATAGCGATGTGCATGGGAAAATGAAGTGGGATGAAAAATCCAGCGGGCAAATGCAGCCATCGTTTCTATTGCGTTAAAGCGGGGCGGCTGCAGACGGCAGAAGTACGGGGCTAGACACATCTGCTGCTTGTCTGTGGCTGGGATGGATGGGGGGAGGTATCCGGGATGTAGGTACCAGGGTGCGTCCCTGCTGCAGGGTCTGCCCCGACGGGTGGGAGAGCCTCTTCTGCATTGCAAGGAGATGTGTGTGTGAATCTAGGAATGAGATTTTTGGCTCTTGTGCTGGAGACACGGGGTCTGGAGCTCCGGGTTTGATGTCTACCTGCCACCGAGTCCCTGGAGGAGTGGTGCGTGTCCCTCCATCCCTCCAGGCAATCCCTGCTTGGGATGAGACACGCAAGCGTTGCCCCACACCAGCAACCAGCTTCTGTTCCGTTGACATTAAAAATACTGTAAGCTGTATTTTTTATTTATTTACTTTTTAAAGCGCCAGCCCAACTCTTAACTTGCACAAGTTAATTCCTGTACGCTGGCTTAAGAAAAAAGCGGCCACTGTTCAGATGAGTCTCTGAGTAAAACAGCAGCGTAATTTTGGACTCTGACCCTTTTTGACAGCAGCTGATTTGAGAGGCAGACTGCCTGAAGGCTGAGCTCTCGGGACACACAAAACATGCCTTATAGGTTTCAATCATCTTGCCCAGGCCTTTGTAAAACTGCCTTTTAAAGCACCACCATATGATGATTATTAGTATTATTTCTAGGCATGCTCTATGGCCGGCCAGATGGCACACCCAAGTACACTGTTTATTAACTAGACCTCAAATGCAGACCATCAAATAAGAATAAAAAAAATCCCTTTCCCGAGGCAGACAGTTGATTTTGGGAGTGAACATTGACCTGACATGCTGTCGCTATGAATGGACTCCATGGCCGCTAATCAAAGGTCTGTTTCGGTGGTGGTTTAAATTTGATTATCTGGGGAGATCCACACAGATCCCCCTCTGGGATGGCAGAGGATTTCTGTGCTCTGGTTTGGGTGATTTTTTGTTAGATGAAAAGCTGTGTGTAGTTGAAGCTGGAGCTTGCTGTGGGGCTGGATGCAATCCTGGGCTGCTCGGAGAGGGCTGACACATTGCAGAGAGGGGGAACGTGTTGTCCCTGTTGCGGTAACGCCTAGAAACCTCAGATAAAACCACATTTCACTGGGTTGGATGCTGTGTAGATGCTTGCTAAAGATAGCTGTGGCCTGGAAGTGTTCATAGTCCATAGAGGAAGGGTGGAGAAAGAAGCTGAAGTTTCAAGGGCCATGGTCAAGGTCACGGAGTAGTGGAGAAGGAGGAGGGTGACTCATGTGGGTGCACGGGCTGAACTGGAAGGGCTGTGCTCTTGCTGCAAAGCCCTGGGGACGGTGCCTGGGTGGGGTGGGTCCCTGTGGTGGCCCCAGCCCATGGCGATGTGGCCCCAGCCAGGAGCTGCCCCCCACCAGCTGCATCTCTCACCATCTTTTGGGCACCTCGAGTTGAAAGCTGTGTTGTCCGTCTTTCTGCCCTCCGAGGAAGCAAGAACGTCTCTACCTGGTGGAGGAGGCAAAGGTGAAGGCGATGCTGCTGGAGAAGGTCACCACGCCCAGGCTGGCCAGGCCACATCTCCCAGACTTGCACCCCTCCCCTGTGCATTTATTTTTCTTTTTTCCTTATGTGAGCAGAGTCCTCTGCCTGAACTCTCATCTCCCGCTCCCTACGGCCGGGCAAGGAGCCAAGCCAGAGGCAGCAAAGGTGGTCTGGGGGGACGGTGGTCTCCAGCCCCACCAGCCGGGGCAGTGGTGGGAGTGCTGGGGCTCCTCGCAGCGTTTCTGCAACCCCCGGCACACCCCTGCCCTCTGCATCCTGCGGTGCAGCTTCGCCCAAAATGCCACTCGTGTCCCCAGCTGACTCGTGGCACGGCGAGCCGACACAGCAGCTGCTCCCCACGGCAGCCCCGGGACACGGTGGGGTGCTTCCCGGGCGAGAGGAAAGGGGTTTCGTTCGGAGGAAGCCTTTCCCTGCTGCAAAGCAGCAATCGTGCACCGTCATGAGGAGCTGTACAGGCGCAGCTGTTTAAATGCATGCGGAAATAATTTTCCTGTGTAAACCTGTCCTCTGGATGATTTATATAAAGGAGGACTGCAAGCAGGAAGAGCCCAGCCTGAAAGAGGCAGTGTGTGGTGCCCTCCTGCTAAGCAGGAGATTTCAAATGACTCTGCATTTTCTTTTATTTATTTATTTTTACCTTGCTAACGGCACTGGCCAACCCCACGCTGGTCTGCAAACATGGGTGAAAACTGGCCAAGGGTAGTTCAGTGCATCCCAGCGGTCTGGGGTCCCGCCGGCTCATCTGCGGTGTGCTGGTGCAGGGCTTTCCTGCACCCCGGTGCAGGGAGGGAGAGGTGGTGTTACCCTGATTTACCTCTTGCGAGGCATTCATTTGAGGTTTTCCTAGCCCAGCACGCAGGCCTTTGTGGCTTTTCTCCAAAGCGTGGCCCTGCAGCTACAGGGACAGCGTGTTTAGCCCATGAGCAAGTGTCCCCACGCGGCTGCTCTCGCACCCTGTGATTTGGGATGTGAGCGGAGGAGAAGGGCTGCGAAGCAGAGAAGATGCTATGAGACGCCACTTGCCCGGCAGAAGGGTTCAGCCCTCAATTCACTAATTCCCTGGGAGGTTGTTTGTGTGTTCAACTAACTTATTCCGGTCCCAGGGAAGACAAGGTGACGCAACTCCTGTTGCACCATTACCTGCGCTAGCGAACAAGGAGAGCTGCGGCCGCTGTGGGTGTTTAAGGATTGCCATGTGGTTTAGCTAAACCTGGGTTAACCTTCTAATCTGGGTTAGGTTTTTTCAGTTTCCTTAAAAAAAAAAAAGCTGTAAACTAAACACACATATAATGCTATCGTTGTCCCTGATGAAGAGAGATGCATGTTAAATTGGGGTCCGCGAATCAATTGAAGTTGCTCCCTCTGCCT